TCCTCCTCCTCCTCCTCCTCCTCCTCCTCCTCCTCCTCCTCCTCCTCCTCCTCCTCCTCCTCCTCCTCCTCCTCCTCCTCCTCCCTCCTCCTCCTCCTCCTCCTCCCTCCCTCCCTCCCTCCTCTCCCTACCCTCCCTTCCTCTATCCCTCCCTCCCTCCCTCCCGCTCTTCCTTCCTTCCCCAGAGATGTTCGCACATACCGACACGGCGGCAGTAACTAGTGAGAAACACGTGCGGGAGAGAATCTACGCAGAATCCTCCTCCACGCAGCATCACGCCGCAGGATGCGTGTCGCATGGCAACCGCATCCTCTCACGGCCGCAGCTTCCGCCGGGGATGGTCGCACGGGAATCCCACCTCGCGAGTATGCTGATCAAGATGACGTCATCGTCAGGAATGCCGGCCTGAGAAAGCTAGCTTGGCTATTATCTTTTTATAAGTATCTTTCTTTATATTTTCTTTATAAAATAAGTGGCTTCCGCTAGCACGTTGTTCGAATGATAAGAACGGGGCTGCTATTGAAATGAGAACAACGAGTACATTTAATATCAGTGCAGTCAACTCTCCAAACAACCAACCACCCTCGGCATCGTCCATTTAGTTTGATTTTCTGTGAAGTTCAATTTATAGGCGGCCTATTCCAATCATATATTATATGTCGCAGAGGGCGTTAGAACTTCGTCCGGTTTAACGTGAGATTCGGTTTCGGGGGCGTTCTGAATTTGCATAGTCGACTGTATCATTGTATGATGGCGGTGTGATAATACTGGGAGAAAATCCAGGGCCGTAGCCTGTGGGGGGGAGCAAGGCGGCAGTTGCCCCCCTAGATTTTGGAGCAAAATTAAAAAATAAATTGTTCTACTAAAAGAGAATTGTCGTAGTCAGAATGAAGGCTGTACATGTACTCAAAAGTGCCTCAAATACCATATCCTGCTATCCACATTTTAAAATTTTTATGGAGGTGGACCCCAAAACCCCCCACCTGTCTCTCACCCCCTCAGTGAAACCATGGATCCGCCACTGCCCCCTAGGTATTTGCCCTTATGTATTTGCTCAGCCTACGGCCCTGAATTATCGTAGCAATGAGAAACGTCGTAATAAAGAAACTTCTGTATAATAGTTGACTGAAGCGTATAGAGAAAGAAAGCATCGTAGCATGCAGCCAATTTCTCGACGAGAGACCTCCTTGGGTCATAAAATTGCCGATTGCAGCAGAGATGATTGGGGTTTGTGAGAATTATATAAATAACACACGTTTTATATGAGCGGTGTATTATGAGAACTCGTAGACACTAGTGCCATAGAGACAGGAGAAAATGAGAAATTTCCCCCACTCGTGAATGTTTGCTTTACTATGCGTAATAATGCTTACCGCGTGGGCTTCTTCATAAAATAACTATTTCACTAGGAAATATGAAGTAGCGTGTCAATACGAATGTAATATTGTTGTGTAGTTTTGTTCTTTACAGCATCGTAAAATCACCTCTCTCTCCTCAGCTAACCCTCTCCCCGCACCCCACCCCCTCTCCACGCACCCTCACTCCCTCTCCGCACCACTCACACTTTCCCCCTGCGGGGAGAGAGTGAGGGTAGAGAGTGAGGGTGCGGGGAGAGAGTGAGGGCCCCCACACCCTCACTCTCTCCCGCCCCTAACTCTCTCCACGCACCCTCACTCTCTCCCCGCACCCTTACTCTCTCCCCACACCTTCACTCTCTCACCGCACCCTCACTCTCTCACCGCACCCTCACTCTCTCCCCCCCCTAGATTTTAGAGCAAAATTAAAAAATAAATTGTTCTACTAAAAGAGAATTGTCGTAGTCAGAATGAAGGCTGTACATGTACTCAAAAGTGCCTCAAATACCATATCCTGCTATCCACATTTTAAAATTTTTATGGAGGTGGACCCCAAAACCCCCCACCTGTCTCTCACCCCCTC